TTGAAAAGTACAACCCAATCCATCAAGTATCAATAATCACATTGCAATCCTATTTTAAAAAACGTAATGCACAGGACCATAAAATAATTTTTATAATTTGTATATATATAAATTTCCAACATCTCTCAGCTTATTGCTGATAAGCTTAAGCCAATTCTACCATCCATCATTAATCAAGCCTAAACGCCATTTATTAAAGATTGAAGGATTGATGACAATGTCCTCATTGCCCAATATATCATTTTACCATATGCACGCATCTCCACCCAAATGCAAAGGCAAGATTAATCTTAGAAAAACATTTGACACCTTGAATTGGGACTTCTTACTTGACACTTTAGCATTAATGATCTTTTGAGCCAACAACAGTATCTAAATGAATTGTATGTTCTCCACTTAATTACACATCAAAAGCTAAACCTAAACTGAAAAAATGTCCCCCTCATTATCTTAAAACTAAATCAACCAATAAAGCATGATCAACTAGCAATTACCTGGATAGTGTATATTAAAACCAAAACCAATCAGCACCCAAATTGGGAAACAACCTACCAAAACCAAGACTAATCAACACCCAAATTGGGACACTTTAACATTGATGGGACCCTCTTACATTCACCCTTTAGATTAAATTGTGCATCACTACTCCTAATTTTATCTAGATGATTTTTTAAGCCTGCAATAGTACCTAAATGAATTGTATGTTTTCGCTTAATTACACATCAAAAACCAAACCAAACCTAAACCCGAAAAATACTCGCCTCATTATCCTAAAACTAAATCAACCAATGGAGCATAATCAACTAGCAATTACCAGCATAGTACATATTAAAATCAAGACCAATCAACACCCAAATTGGGACATAACCTATCAAGCCCAAGACCAATCAACACCCAAATTAGGACACTTTAACATTGATTGGAACATCCTACATCCATACTTTGGATCAAATTGTGCATCACTACTCCTAATTTCATCTAAATGATCTTTTAGGCGTACAACAGTATCTAAATGAATTGTGTGTTCTGCTCTTAATTACACATCAAAAGCAAAACCTAAACCCGGAAAACACCCCCCTCATTATCTTAAAATTAAATTAACCAACATAGCACAATCAACTACCAATTACCAGTATAGTGCATATCAAAACCAAGACCAATTAGCACCCAAATTGGGACACAACCTATCAAAACCAAGATCAATTAGCACCCAAATTGGGACACTTTAACATTAATGGGACCCTCATACATTCATCCTTTGGATCAAATTGTGTATCACTACTCCTAGTTTCATCTATATGATCTTTTGAGCGTACAACAACATCAAAATGAATTGTGTGTTCTCCTCTGAACTACATATTAAAAGCCAAACCTAAACCTGGAAAACACCTGCCTCATTATCTTAAAACTAAATCAACCAATATAGCACAATTAACAGCATAGTGTATATCTAAACAAAGACCAATCAGCACCCAAATTGGGACACAACCTATCAAAACCAAGACTAATCAGCACCCAAATTGGGACACATTAACAATGATGGGACTCTCCTACATTCATCCTTTGGATCAAATTGTGCATCACTAATCCTAGTCTCATCTAGATGATCTTTTGAGCCTACAACAATATCTAAATGAATTGTGTGTTCTGCTCTTAATTACACATAAACAGCCAAACCTAAACCCTTAAAAAACCTGCCTCATTGTCTTAAAACTAAATCAACCAACAGAGCACAATCAACTAGCAATTACCAGCATAGTGTATATAAAATCAAGACTAATCAGCACCCAAATTGGGACACTTTAACATTGATGGGACCTCCTAAATTCATCATTTGGATCAAATTGTGCATCACTACTCCAAGTTTCATCTAAATGAACTATTAAGCATACAACATTATCTAAATGAATTGTGTTCTCCTGTTAATTACACATTAAAAGCCAAACCTAAACCCGAAAAACACTGGCCTCATAATCTTAAAACTAAATAAACCAACAGGGCACAATCAACTAACAATTACCAGCATAGAGTATATCACAACCAAGACTAATCATCACTGAAATTGGGACATGTCCTATCAAAACCAAGACTAATTAACACTTAAATAGGGACACTTTAACATGTATAGGACCCTCCTACATTCATCATTTGGATCAAATTGTGCATCACCACTCCTACTTTCATCCAGATGATCTTTTGAGCCTATAACAGTATCTAAATAAATTGTGTGTTCTCCTCTTAGTTACATATCAAAAGCCAAACCAAAACCCGGAAAACACCCGCCTCATTATCTTAAAACTAAATCAACCAATAGAGCATAATAAACTAGCAAATACCAGAATCGTATATATCAAACCAAGACCAATTAGCATCCAAATTGGGATACTTTAACACATTCATCCTTTAGATCAAATTGTGTATCACTACTTATAATTTCATGTAGATGATCATTTGAGCCTACAGTAGTATTTAAATGAATTGTGTGTTCTCATCTTAATATTACACATCAAAGGATAAACCTAAACCCGAAAAACACTTGCCTCATTATCTTAAAACTAAATCAAACAACAAAGCACAATAAACTAGCAAATACCAGAATAATATATATCAAACCATGACCAATCAGCACCCAAATTGGGATACTTTAACATTGATGGGACCCTCATACATTTATTATTTGGATCTAATTGTGCATCACTACTCCTAATTTCGTCTAGATGATCATTTAAGCCTACAATAGTATCTAAATGAATGATGTGTTCTCATCTTAAATATTACACTTCAAAAGACAAACCTAAACCCGGAAAACACCCACCTCATTATCTTAAAACTAAATCAACCAACAGAGCACAATAAACTAACAAATACCATAATAGTATATATCAAATCAAGACCAATCAGCACCCAAATTGGGATACTTTAACATTGATGGGACCCTCATACATTCATCTATTGGATCAAATTGTGCATCACTACTCCTAATTTCATCTAGATGATCGTTTGAGCCTATAATTGTATCTAAATGAATTGTGTGTTCTTATCTTAAATATTACACATGAAAAGACATACCTAAACCTAGAAAACATCTGCCTCATTATCTTAAAACTAAATCAACAATCATAGCATAATAAACTAACAAATACCAGAATAGTATATATCAAACCAACACCAATTAGCACCTAAATTGGGAAACTTTAACATTGATGGGACCCTTATACATTCATCATTTGGATCAAATTGTGCATCACTACTCCTAATTTCATCTAGATGATCGTTTGAGCCTACAATAGTATCTAAATGAATTGTGTGTTCTCATCTTAAATATTACACGTCAAAAGACAAACCTAAACTCGGAAAACACCCACCTCATTATTTAAAACTAAATCAACCAACAGAGCACAATAAACTAGCAAATACCAGAATAGTGTATATCAAACCAAGACAAATCAGCACCCAAATTGGGATACTTTAACATTGATGGGACATTCCTACATTTATCCTTTGGATCAAATTGTGCATTACTACTCCTCGTTTCATCTAAATGATCTTTTGAGCCTACAACAATATCTAAATAAATTGTGTGTTCACCTCTTAATTACACATCAAAAGCAAAACCTAAACCCAAAAAACATTTGCCTCATTATCTTAAAACTAAATCAACCAACAGAGCACAATCAACTAGCAATTACCAGTATAGTGTGTTGACCTTAAGGACTCCATCCAAGGACAATTTAGAGGTTTTGGATGATAACATACCATTAATGGTGTGTAAGAACTAATGTTTATATTGAGTGTTATATAGATTATTCACATTCAAAGAATGACCTCAATGAAGCTATAAAGATCATTCCAAGTATTCCATTATTCAAAATCACATTAATGAAAGCAATGGATACAAAGAAGACATGAAGTTACAAAGAACAAGATGTAAAGTCCATCCAAAGATAGCTTAGACTACAATGAGCAAGAAAGTAACTTGAAGGAAGGAAGAAAACAAGACTACCTCAAAGCCTAAAGATCATGGACAAAGCTTGAATAAAGGGGTAGATAAGATGGTGAGTGTTTAGGATTAAATGTCAAAGTATTTATGAATCCATTTGAAGCTCATCTCTATAGGACCATGCATATCATATCATCATTCATATGTTCCTAAATCTATTAGTAATAGACTATGCATTTCATCACATATATACTTGCACATGAAGTCGTTGCTAAAGAATGAGTTAGTTCAAGCTTGCTTAAGCTTTGAAAGAACTCATCACTTGTGCTAGAAATGCTAAGACCATGCATATCAATCACATTATTCATATTGGTCAACAATTAAGGCATATGAAGCATTCATTACCATGAGTTAGTAACAAACATTAGGACCCCAGAATGCACGTCATGAAAAACTGTATTTTTGGCTAAGTGTGAAAAATGGATTTTTGAAATAATGATTATTTCAAAATAATTTTTACTTCTAATAACTCCTTATACTTCAAATAGCCTAAACTGATTTTATCAGGATTTATGATCAAGTTTATATTAGTCTGCATAAGGATTCATTTTTACCAAAACTGTCAAAAATCCAAATTTATACTAAAACTGAATTTCGACTTTTTGATTTAGTTGGATTTTAATTTTCTGTAACGACCCGGATTTCTCAACCCGGTGCGTTAGTGATGAACCGGAAGTTGACCTGATAACAGACCCGAAATGCGAAAGCAAAAGAAGCCAAATGACCTCAAGAGATGTACGTCATCCCTAAGGCCCCAAAATAACTCTCCATGAAACCACGGAACTCAAATGAGCCAAGCAAATGAAGCAAGAATGCTTAACCCGAAAAGAGATAAACTAAGGGCAAAATGGTCATTTCTTACTGAAAAGGGTGCCACCGTGCACACCATTGGAAGGACAACGAAAAATGAACAAAATTAGACTCAAGAATCATCTGATTCTGAGTCCGGGCAGAAAAGATATGAAATTCCAACACCCGATGCGAAAGTTATGAAGTAATGACTTAACATTTTCCAATATTTTCATAATAAACTTTGAAAACAAAAGTGCATAGAAAACGAGATACATGTCATTGGCCTCCGGCCTCATCTCATACATGTTAAATACATTGAAAAGAGTGCACTTATGTACACTTTACATATACGAATCAACGAATACAAGTTTAAACAAATAGGGCTACAAAGAGGCATCTTATGCTAACACTTGCATAAAATAAAAACATAGAAACTGTAAGCCATCCAAGGAGCAATGGAATCTTCAAATCTTGAGTCTTGTACCTGAAATATGCCCCAGTATCGTAGGAGTGAGTAACATAAAGCTACTCGTAGGAGATGAGCATGCATCGACCTAGCATTTTACAATTTTATCACCTTATAGTGAAACATGTTAAAGGGGCTCATGCCACCTAACGTCTATGTCAAGATGAGACCCAGGGAGCATCCTAAGCTACCTAGATCATTTATATCATAATCACATTGTTCATGCAATTCAAACAACATGGAAACATGTTATACAAGGCAACAAGATATAGATTCTCAAAGTCTTCAACTTGAAATCCAAAATACGAAACAACAAGTGTGGGTCATGCCACCTAATGTCTATGTTCAAAATGAATCTATAAGGTCATTTCTAAACTACATTTGAACATCAAAACACAAATTATGATATCGATGCAATTTAACCAACAATGGAACTTCTAATACAACGCATGAAGCATGCTTTCACAAAGCTACATCTTAAGCTCAAAATAGGAAATCAAATAAGGAACAACAAGTTACGATATCATCTATTTATCAACTTGAAATGAAATACGAAATCAAATAAAGTGGATACTCGGACCTCACGCCGGATTAGACCGACAACATAGTTACTTTAGGGTTACTAGCCCATGGGTAACCTCCCTATGTGCGCACTAGACTATATAGAGGAACAATCCCCCGTACTAGAACCAAGTCCTAGCCGTAGCAAAACAACGACATCCCCAAGTTTCCAAAATCAACAAATTGTGCAACAACGTATATATATCAACATGTATATACAAGATATCAACTATTTACCAAGCACAATCCAAATTTTAGAAACTTATACAATATATGCTCAAAATTCACAACTACTATGGCATGTAAGATGTCAAATACAAAGTGTGCAATTCCTTACACACAGCAACAATATATTCAATAAGGAAAAGCATATTCTTATGAATATAAAAGTAACAACTATGTTATCCAATGCTCAAAAGTAATCAAGTGAACATACATCAAATCCAAATCCATGATTTAAATAAAGAAACAACTTCCAAAATGCAATTAAATCCATGGAGTAATAAAGTAGAATTTAATTAAACATAAATAGTTAAATTCTCTAAATTCCAAGTTAATCCAAATAACCTCAATTTAATATATACTGAAAGATATGTCATGGTCATCATATATATAACATCAAATGACAAGTTAAGTGATTAAAACACTTAAAACAAAATTAATCAAGCTAATTAATTAATTTCCTCTACATTTTTAAACAATTCCAAATGCCCTCAATTTAATCTATGTTAGAGAACATGCCAAGGCTTATTTAAATACCACATTACAACTTGATTTAATGTTTGATACGACCATGTGAATTAAACTTTCACTAAAGATAAATATTAAATAAAAATTGTAATTCTTAATCAAATGATCCAAATTTAATATATGTTAACCAATATATCTAAGCATAATTTCCTAGCATGTTACAATTCAAATCAAAGTTATACATCATCATAAATTTTAAATCTTATACAAAGAAATAAAAATTACTAATTTTCTAGATTTGATACAAGGCATACATATATGTTGTATAATCATGGCAAACGTACAATACAATACACAAATAATCCTAAAACATTCCCTACCTCAATTGGAATGAAAATCCCAATTACCACCAAAATGAAATTGCCCCAAATTTTCGGTCTGCAAAATAGATTTTTCAGCTTGCTACCTTCAACTTGTAAAATTCATAAAAAATTCAATTCTAACCCAAATTGAATGAATCCAAAGCCCAATGAAAGCTTAAACACTGTAATTTGATAATATAAATTTAGTTTAACAAAATAGTTTCCCAATTGAAACAGTTTTGACCCACAAATTTGAAACAAATTCTGCCTAGGAAACACATTTTCAGCCGGTAGCTTCCAACTTTGAAAATTCATGAAAAATTCATTTGACATCCAAATTGGGCAAACCTAATTTATTTTGGAAGTAAACATATGAGAGTATAAAACTAAAAATTTAAGCCATGATCCAATGTCAAAAGGTTAGTGAAATAAATCATCTAAAAATATGTTTTCGAGCTGCAATAAAAACATGGACAACAGATAGTTTTGGATTTTTAAAAAAATTTAGAAATGCTCTAAAATCGTGAAAAAATTCTGAGTAGTGTAAAACCCATGGGGAAAGTTTCAATAAAAATTTCAAGGTAATTGAAGTACCAAAATTCGATATAAAAAATTCATTTCCGGACTGAAAAGGAAAAGCTTCAAATTTCCAACAACTAGCTTGCAACTTCAAAAATTCATAACTAATTCATTTTAAATCCAAATTACATGAAACCAAAACTAAATGAAAGCTAATTGAGTATATTTTCATATTATATATTTAATTTGACAAGATTAATTTCAAGTTAAAACAGTTTAAGGGCAAAATACAAGTCCTTCTCTTCCATGCATGTTAAACATTCAATAATGACATAAAAATACTTCAAAATAATAGATCAATACCTCACTAAAGAATTGAATCTCTAGATACCAAAGCAAAACTAGGAGTTAGGCTAGATCCTTCAAGGGTTTTGAAGAGGAGGATGAGGGGAACAAAAAGTATTCCAAGTTCAAAGTTCTAAGGTGAGTAAAAGGGCACCAAAAATGAAGTCAAAGCTACTAGTCAAGTTTTTCTCCAATGGTGGCTTCCTTAAGGTTCTTGAGAGGAAAGTGATGAATGAATTCAAATGTGTAAACCCTAAGCTAAATTGGTGGGCTTCTCCACTCACTAGGTGCTCGTGCACTAACTCTCACACACACACTAATGCAAGACTAAAGGTGAGTCCTACACTTGTCATGAATCCAAGTAAGCTTCCAAGATTAAATATTAACCCTACACTTGTCAACCATCTATGCCAACAAGTGCACCAATCCTAGGACAACAAGTGGGTGAATCCTCACCCTCCAAATGTCATCATCCAATTCATCAAAGTGTTTCCACACAAATGTCAACAAGTGGACCAATGAGAGTGTGACACTTGTCACACTTTTTAAAAATTGCAAAAAAGGTCCTTTTTGAAAATATCTTCCAAACTTAATTACAAAATGGTCCCTAAGACGAAAAATAATTACTTTACTTAATTACCCAAAAATCCCTCAAGTTATGGATAATTGCAAAAAGTCTTGTTTTCATAACTTTTACAAAGAAAGTAAGCATTTAATATGCATTTCTACAAAAGTAAAAATGTAGATGTCATGGAATTTAAATATCATGAATGTATGCAAAACCAGAATCAAATCTGAGCACAAAAAATGAGGTTATGCAAGTAAAAGTGAAAAACGAGAAGAGGACGAAATAAGGAAAAGACGAAAAATGAATAGTGTTAAAAAACAAAAAAATGTGGAAATGACTCGGTCCTCAAAAGAAGTTGTCAATCCAAAGGAAAGAGTCTCGGAAACCATTTCCGAGCACTCGAGACGACACTAAGAGGTGGGAAATCGAACCCGAAAAGGAAAAGATAATGAAAAAAAAATTTATCCGCAAAATTTGAAGAAAAAGGGAAAAGGAAGAAAATGACCGGGTCATTACATTTTCTTATATTTTTTATTGAATCCAAATGGGGGGTACTTCCTTATTTACATTGTAAACTTAAAGTAAATGGACATATAAACACTGTAAAGACATTTACTTAACTGTGTTAAATGGAAATAAGGTATGTGCAGATGTCCTGTAGAAAAACTGTGTAATCTGTTAACTTAGAACAAAATGCTGAAGTAGCAGTTTTTTCTAAAGCAGTTCATTTCGGCAGACCGAAATGAATAGGCAATAGATGCCGGTCGACCGGTATCTCATGGAATTTGGGCAGTAGCCATGCTAAGTCGACGCTCACAACCGATAGACCGAAATAGGGCATTCGGCAGACCTTAAGTTATTTCGGTTGACCGATGTAAGCCTAGATTTGATTCAAATGGCTATTTTGCCTCGAACCCCATGCACAACAACTATATTTTTGAATTAGCTGCATCAAAATCTATAAATAGTGCTGGGGACTTCGGGATTAAGTGTTGCTACCATAGAGAAACATCATATAGCATCCAAAGAGCTTTTGTTCTTATATTCATACATCCCGTATCATTAGAAGAGTATTGAGCTTCAATCTATTCATATATACTCTAGAGTGAGCTGAAAGTTGTACATCAAATCTGTGAGAGATATCATTGTACTGAAATTCTAATATTAAAAAATGTTGTAAAGCTTAAGAGAAGGTGTTCTCTTAGCGAAGGAAGAAGAAGCAAGCTAGTTTCAAATTGTAAGGGTTGGTGTGACCCAAAGGAAAACTAAGAGAGGTTGTCTCTTAGCAAGGTGAAATTAGGAGTTGCTTCATACAAAGGTTTGTTCTTCATCCGTAAGAAGGTGCCATAGTGGATTAGGAAGTCTCAAGAGGGGTCTTGAGCGAGGAGTAGGGCTTTCTGAACCTCTAAAATTATCATGTGAATGTTTGCAATCTCTCTTCCCTTATCTCTTTTATTATTGTGCAATCAATTGCTTATGTCTATATCTTGATTATTGCATAATTGTTATAAGGTGCTTAATAGAATTTGCAAAACAATTAAAATTGAAAATTGGCCATTGTTTGCCATAGACTCTATTTACCCCCCTCTAGAGTCAATACTTGGGCAACATAGTGTATATAAAAAACAAGACCAATCTACACCCAAATTGGACATAACCTATCAAAACCAACACCAATCAACACCTAAATTAGGACACTTTAACATTCTCCTCCATTCATCATTTGGATCAAATTATGCATCAATACTCTTACTTTCATCTAGATGATCATTTGAGCCTACAATATTATCAAAATGAATTGTGTGTTCTCCTCTTAATTACATATCAAAAACCAAACTTAAACCTGGAAAGCACTGGCCTCGTTATTTTAAAATTAAATTAACCAACAGAGCACAATCAACTAATAATTAATAACATACTGTATATCAAAACCAAAACCAATCAGCACCCAAATTGGGACACAACCTGTCAAAACCAAGATCAATCAGCACCCAAATTGAGACACTTTAACATTGATGGGACACTCCTAGATTCATCATTTGGATCAAATCATGCATCACTAATCCTAGTTTCATCTTGATGATCTTTTGAGCCTCAAAAAGTATCTAAATGAATTGTGTGTTCTCCTCTTAACTACACATCAAAAGCCAAACCTAAACTCGGAAAACACCCGCTTCATTATCTTAAAACTAAATCAACCAATAGAGCACAATCAACTAGCAATTACCAGCATGGTGTATATGAAAACCAAGACCAATCAACACCTAAATTAGGACACAACCTATCAAAACCAAGACCAATTAGCACCCAAATTGGGACACTTTAACATTGATGGGACCCTCATACATTCATCATTTGGATCAAATTCTGCATCATTACTCCTAGTTTTATATAGATAATCTTTTGAGCCTACAACAATATATAAATGGATTGTGTATATTCTCTTCATTACACATCAAAAGTCAAACCTAAACCCAGGAAACACCCGCCTTATTATCTTAAAACTAAATCAACCAACAGAGCATAATCAACTAGCAATTACCATCATAGTATATATCAAAACCAAGACTAATCGATCAGTACCAAAATTGGGACACAACCTATCAAAACCAATACCAATCAGCACCCAAATTAGGACACTATAACATTGATGGAACCCTCCTACATTCATCTTTTGGATTAAATTGTGTATCACTACTCCTAGTTTCATCTAGATGATCTTTGAGCCTACAATAGTATCTAAATGAATCGTGTGTTCTCCTTATAATTATATATCAAAATCCAAACCTAAACCCAGAAAACACCCATTTCATTATCTTAAAACTAAATCAACCAACATAGCACAATCAACTAGCATTACAACAAGACCAATCAACACCCAGATTGGGACATTTTAACATTGATGGGGCCCTCCTACATTCATCATTTGGATTAAATTGTGCATCACAACTCCTAATTTCATCTAGATGATCTTTTGAGCCTATAACAGTATCTAAATGAATTGTGTGTTCTCCTCCTAATTACACTTAAAACCCTAACCTAAACCCAAAAAACACCCGTCTCATTATCTTAAATTAAATCAACCAACAGAGCACAATCAACTAGCAATTACCAGTATAGTGTATATTAAAACTAAGACCAATTAGCACCAAAATTGGGACACAACCTATCAAAACCAAGAACAATCAGCTCCCAGATTGGGTTTCCATCAAAACTAGTATAAAAGTATCAATCTAAACAAAATTATTAAAAGCTAAAAGAAAATGGTCGATTCTTGAAAAGCTATTAAGGAATTGAAATTGAAAGAAATGAAAATTCTTGTTCTCAATTAGACTTGGTTTTCTTCACAACCAGTTCCTCTTCATCTTTTCATCATCTGCTACTGGGATTAAAGCTTCAATTTCTTATTTCTCTTTTTCTTCATCATCAATTTGAAGTAAGTTCAAGTTTTAATAAAATTGCCTTAATATTCATTTTATATGTGTTCAAGATGTGCATATAAATCACTGAGATATTATAAGTGTTCTTATAATTGCTCCATCAACAAATGAAAAATTATATATATATATATATATATATATATATATATATATATATACACACACATATGAAAATATAATGCCCAACTCAACCGTCAATTACCAGCACAGTGTATATCAAATCCATTATATAGTTTGCTTGCATTCCCACAGTAGACCCTCGGATTCTTCCATCTCATAAAACACAATAATTCCATCAATTTAACCATTTTACAAAACACAAAATGTCAAAATTCTTGAACCAAAGACATAATTTATATACACACAATTGTTGATATGCAAAAAAAAATTATACCATTGAATATCAATCTAAACAGTGGGAATTTTCAGCAAAAAAGATTGGGTATTCAGGTCTTAGGAATGCAAATTTAACCTTAAGAAATTAGATCCATGTTACTACAAAACCTAAAGAATTGTCAACACATAAAAAAAATTCTTCTATTGCTTTCTTGAAAACCAATTAAGAAATTGAACTTGAAAGAACTAAAAATCTTAGTTCTCAATTAGACCTGGTTGTTTCACGACCAGTTCCTCTTCATCTTTTTCATCATCTGTGGCTGGGATTATAACTTCAATTTCTTTCTCCTCTTCTTCTTCACCATCAATTTGGAGTACCACTTCATTTTCTTTCTCTTCTTCTTCTTCTTCTTCTTTTTCACAATCATCAATGGGAATTATTTCTTCTTGTTCTGCCTCTTCTTCTTTAATTGGAATTTTATCTTCTTCATCATTGTCACTTAGTTTATAATCATATTGGACACCCTTAATCAACTTACTCATAGATTTTTTGCTCCTATTCGGTACCTGTTCAACAATGGTGTATTCATCACTGCCCAGAACAGATCTTATGTATTGAAATTTCTTTTTCTTCCCCTTTCTTCCTGTAGAAGGGAAATAGAATCACAAATAGACTGGACCATCTGAGTCCCATTTCCAGAGGGAGGAGAGAGAGAGAGACAAAGATTATATGAAAAGATGAGAAAGAAAGGCAAAGAGAGGAGAGAGAAAGACAGAGAGAGAAAAAGAAGGGTTTCTTTCTCACACAAAGTAGTGAGAGAGAGCGGGAACATAAAAGAGACTATAAGTATAACCAATTCTATTTAGTCGATCGAAATCCCAATGCGATAAACAACATTCACCTCCCATAATGTTCAGTAAATTTCATCGACTGCGATTTTTTTTTTTTTTTTTTTTTAATTATGTTGGAAAGAAACACACTTAAACACCCACTGTAGTCTCCTAGATTTTTTTGAAATTTTTTTATTTTATATTTATTTTTCCTTGGTGCCTCATTTTACGTGCCAAACATCGATTAGCATGAGTGGGTTTCGAAGTTCA